AATGACTAGGAAATATCACATGACAAAACAATTTTTATTGCATTTTTGATTGGAAATTTTTTCCCAAAATTCGTCGTAGTGGCGCAGCAAGTTGCGGGATTAGGTGTCCTGCACTGTACTATACTTAAAGAAATCAGTTCATTCCCGTGAAACCCTGATTTACTTTTTGGGACATTCTTCAGTTGGGCCGGTTTTATTGTTTTTTTTATTATTTATTTTAAACGGTAATGGTGATCATCACAGAAATTTTCCAAAAATCGTTATGGAATTATTAAAAAGTCAAGATATTTGTTACACGATTCAATGTCAGTTTTTTTATATATAGTTCTAATAAGAGGCTTAGATCTGTTGTCAAAATTTTAAAATTCACACGTCAGTGTGCAAATCTTTCTCTTTTTTTTAATTAGTGTGTGTAACATTTGCTTGAATGCCAATAATTTCTTTTGACATTTATAGCACATAAACTTCTTAATAGATTAAAAAAATGATATATATAAAAATTTTTCTTGAAGTTTCAATAAATATTTTGGCACCTTTTATTTAAAATAAAGCTGCTTTTCGAACTCACAATAATGGGTTAAAATACACACAAAAATTTACACTAAAAACATTGATTCTTTTCAACAAGGCAGCTTTATGCTGATTACAATAGTCAATAAACCAAAGCGAACCTTGTTATTTAGACTTCATTAGTACCATAAAGATGACTCACTTGACGGAATTTTCAAAAATATATAAAATTTATCTTTTTATTGAGCAATGTCACTTAGATCTGCTTTCATATTTAAAGTAGGTAAGATAGTTTAATGTTTATTCTTCAGAAATTTATTCTTGGATAACAGATGTAATGTAGTTTTAGCTTCTAATGTAGTTACACATCTTGATCTTTTTTATGATGATTTATTGACAAATATGTCCATATTACAATCCAAAGAAGAAAGCAAAATGATCACAAAGGTTATTACGACCACCATCAAAAAGTTGTGACTAGCATCTATATTCTTGATCAGTATTATTTGGATAGTGTGTCTAAAGGTTGGTTGGTAAGCATCATCATAATTTATGTCATCGCCATATCAATTCTAT